TCCGTTTACAAAGCTCTAACATGATCCCATCTAAGAGTCACTTTGCCAAGACTGTCTGCTTCATTCCAGATTCTAAACTAATGTTCATATTCTACAGCACTATACAGAATATCTCAACTTTATCTGTTTATTGAGCAGAATTTTTTTCTTATTTTTCTCTTGGGGTGGGTGTCAGCTTGGAGGCCCTGATAAAGTAGCAGAAATGACTGGAAGGCGAGGTATGCTTGTGAGGGCATCTGGTGGAAAAGGTGTTACCTATCAGGCACGGAACACGTGAGTTATGGTATTTTTTTCACTCTTACTTATTTGAAGTCATTTTTAAATTGGCTAAACTGTATTTTGGTTTAGGAAGGAAATTTCCATGGAGATGGTAAACATGCATGAGAAGCAGCTTTTCATGGACGGCAAGAAGTTGGTTGCCATCATTTCTGAAGCTGGATCTGCTGGTGTGTCTTTGCAGGCAGATAGAAGAGCTACAAATCAGGTATGCCTATATTTTCTATAACTTATCTTCTCAACAGTAGCTGACTTACAGCGGAGTGAAACTGGATAGTATCTTTTCATCACCTCTCCCTCATCAAATTACAAGCATTCTAAAATTTAACAACAGAGACGAAGGGTACATCTTACTCTGGAACTTCCTTGGAGTGCTGATCGAGCAATTCAACAGTTTGGAAGAACTCATCGGTCAAATCAAGCCTCCGCTCCTGAATACAGGTAGATAGACACTATATGTAAAAATTGTTTCTTTTATTTGGCTCACCAGTGTTATGCTGGTTGCTAAATTAGTGTTGACTAGTTTTCTCTTGACCTTTAATTTGGAAATGACTTCTAGAAAAGTTGTGACCTATCTACCTTTTACTGTTAGAAGCAAGGGCTTGTCCACTGTGCCAGTACACTTTGATGTATCAGAGTGACTAGTTGAAGGAATCAGATCCTGATATCCTTTATTAGTTTTTTAGTGAAACCAAGTATCCTTAATTACTGAATCCTCTATCTGACATACGATAGGTTTTGGTTGAATCTTTGGTCAATCCAACTCAAGGGCCGGCTTTACATCCAATTGAGTTTTGTCTCTTAATCAATAAAATTGAGATTACATAAGAAAATTTTCTATTTATTCGTTTGTCGTTTTCTGATCAGTGTGATTACTAATTAGTTATTAAATGCACGCTATTACAGATATGAGAATCATGCATGGTTAGTTGTTTTTTCCAGTTGATGAGCTGGTTTCATCCTTTATTTCTTTTGCAGGCTTATTTTTACTAACCTTGGTGGAGAGCGTCGATTTGCATCCATCGTAGCAAAGAGATTAGAATCTCTTGGAGCACTAACACAGGGTGACCGCAGGTTACTTGAATTTCATCTATGTAGATTTGGTAGTTGTTATTATTGTGGTATAAGAACGTGTATTGGATTTTTATTCTCCATCCTGTGAGTGATTTGCTTGTCTCATTATTTGGTTTGATGTAATGCAGGGCAGGGCTATCATTGAGTGCCTATAACTACGATAGTGCTTATGGAAAGAAGGCCTTGATGTTGATGTATAGAGGAATCATGGAGCAGGTTTGTATGAACGTCTTCTGAAAAATAATCTCTCTCCATAATGTATGAATACAAGTAAAAATTAAATTGTGATGGAAAATAACTTGAAGTCAATTTTCAGGATTCTCTGCCTGTTGTGCCGCTAGGATGTTCATCAGAAAAACCGGAAACAATCCAAGATTTTATTGAGAAGGCTAAAGCTGCTCTTGTTCTTGTAGGAATAGTTAGGGATGGTAATGGTTTTGAACTATTGTGTTGTACTATGCTGGATAGAATATTTAATGGCTCCATTTTATTCCCCACATGTGTTCTAAATTATGTGTTAGTACAGTTAATTGATTTAAAAAATTTATTTTCCGTAATAGAATGTCACAGAGAATTTGCTTTTAACTATATTTTATTTTCTTGGTGGTGACCTACTCTTCTTATATATGATGTAGCTCATGGGAAAGATCATGGCAGGCTCGCTGGCCGTATAATTGAATCAGATATGCATGATGTTGGACGTTTCCTCAATCGGATTTTAGGAGTACCGCCTGATATACAGAATAGGTCTGTGATTGACATGTCAATTAAAATATAGTTTACTTATAGTAGTTAAAGTTGGGTTTCATATGCTGATATCATTATAATACACAGGCTGTTTGAGTGTTTCGTTAGCATTTTGGATCATATTGTCCATAATGCACGCATTGAAGGGAATCTGGACTCTGGGATTGTTGATATGAAAGCTAATGTTATAGAGCTACAAGGAACTCCAAAGGTCAAGCATTGCTTAATTGTTGCTTGTTTGATTTACATTTTATATTTATATTGACTTCCAATTTGTTGCAGACTGTTTACGTAGATCAAATGTCTGGAGCTTCGACAGTGCTTTTTACATTTACCCTGGATCGTGGGGTCACGTGGGAGGTACTTTTGTTTTCAAGTGACTAGTTGAGTGGTGGCTTATTACTATGTCTATGCCAATTCACATACTAAACTATGTTTATCTTTCGTAGTCTGCGAGTGCCATGCTTGAAGAGAAACAAAAGGATGGACTTGGTTCTGCCAATGATGGATTCTATGAATCTAGGAGGGAATGGTTGGGAAGACGTCATGTCATGTTAGCCTTTGAGAGGTACTGCATCTGAAGTTTGTTATGCATATTCATGTATTGTTCTGCTGATTTTTTCTCAAGTGAAGTTGTTTATGTTCTATTAGAATGAAGATCCTCTCCGGATCCTCTTTGTGAGGATCCTGGGGATCCTCAAATCGTATTCGTTCATCGTACATCGTGTGGTCAGAAGTTATTTTAAATATAATATTTTTATTTAAAATTAAACATAAACAGTACTTGACGAAAATTGGCCGCACGATGTACGATAAACAGACACGATTTGAGGATTCCCAGGATCCTCACAAAGAGGATCCGGAGAGGATCCTCGTTCATTTTATTATTAATTTATTATAATATTATTTTTCTTCTGAGTTTTTCTTCAGCATTATTATAATGTACTTTCCCTTCATGGTTCTTGTGCTTCAATTAGTGTATCTTTCTACTTCATTTTCTGGTTTCATTGTTTTACCCTAAATATGTTTCAGTTCTACTTCCGGATTGAACAAGATAGTCCGCCCTGCGGTGGGAGAGTCAGTAAGGTACCAAATTTATGCTTTATGTGCTTCATTCATCTTTGTTCTAAAATAAATATATTTCACTTTCACCTACTGCTTTTCCCCTATCCAGAGAAATGCCTCTGTCAGAGCTAAAAAGCAAATACAGAAAAACATCAACATTAGAGAAGGCTCGTCGTGGCTGGGAAGATGAATATGAAGTTTCGTCCAAACAGGTCGATATTGATAAACTTTAAAAATGGCTGCATTATTTTTGGTGCAAATAGTTTACTGTTATTAAATGACTTTGTTGCTATTATGTATATTGTGATGCTGAAAATCTGTATTTCCTATGTATTCAAATCGACTATTATTCAATCAAAATGGAAAAAACGGCACTCATTTATCAAATCATCGTGTATAATATGTTTACCTTGATGGCCATTTTGACCTTTGATTAACCATGCACCGCATGTCTGGCTCATTCTTTCTTGGAAGACTTGGATATTGTTTCCGTGTCAAACAGCAACTCATATCTGCTAGTATATTTAGCAGCAGTTCATAGTGCAAACCGACTAGTTGAAAATTCCTTAGGTGTTTATACATCTCATTTGCTGATTGTAATAATCTTGTGACTTCACCATTACTTGCAGTGCATGCATGGACGCAATTGTAAGCTTGGCAACTTCTGTACTGTTGGCAGAAGACTGCAGGAAGTAAATGTATTAGGTGGCCTAATTCTTCCTGTCTGGGGCACTATTGAGAAGGCTCTTTCTAAGCAGGTAACTTGTTTTCATCTGCTAGTTAATGTGACCTGGTGATCTCAGCGACATAAATTTAACAAATCACGGACTGCCTTTTCTTCATTGTGGACAACTATGAAATGCTCTCTTACCAAGTGTCAGTGTTTGTTCCTGAATAATTTATATTCAGTAAAAGTGCAAATATGCATTTCTAACTACTGATAACTCGTGTGACAATATCTCCAGCAACGGCAAAGCCACAAGCGGCTACGTGTTGTGCGTATAGAAACCACTACTGATAACAGCAGAATCGTCGGTCTCTCTGTACCAAATGCAGCAGTGGAATCCGTACTTCAAGGTCTCTCCATTTCTCTTGTTAATTTTCTATTTTCCTCTGCTTAGCGCCCTTGACCGGTAAAAAATTTCAAAGCCACTCCAATTCAAACTCTTTTAACGATGAGCATTTACTTAAGATAACTTCTTGAGGTGCCTGGCTAACTTAGCCTAGTTCTTATGCAAGCGAAACTCGTAAATGGCTAAAGATATGAAGTTCATGAACTCGTTCGATCTCTTTAGAAGTTTACTTGACTGAGGATGCTCTGATAATGTTTCAGATTTTGCATGGGTTCAAGAAATTGACGACTGAGATGACGCAGTAGTCTGGTTGTAAATTTTGCCGAGTTGCTATGCTCCTCTACGCCGCGATAATCTTGGAAGCACATGAATAGTTCCAGAACGAAGGCAGAAGCCAAATACCCAAGAAATAGAAAAAGCGAAGATGATTTTTCTGCACATCGTAATGACCCCGTGCAGTCATTGATTCTGATTTTATTTGTTTCTCGACCTCCGTTGCCGGTCAGTTTTTTTTTTGCCCTATTTATTTTGTATATCACCGACGACGTTTTACGGCATTGGAGGTTAGATTTAGTAGGCTCTCTTGGTCATTAGTTTTGCCGCAATCAATTTGTATCACTATCATACAGTTAATTCAAATGGTAGAGGAAATAGAAAATTCCCCTTTTTGTTCAACGTCATACATTTTGTGAATGAAATTTGTACCCAAAAAAAAAAATCCTTCATGTTCAAAGACATTAAGATACTTATTAGATGAAAAAGAACAAAACAAAATCATTAAAATTCAAATGGACAAAATCGAAAATCCGATAAAAGCAGCAAAAATATCAAAGAGCCGTGACGTCTCAGTCTAACAATGCAACACATTATTCAACCGAGGTCATATGTCGGTGAATCAATTTTATGAAAGCCTTTTCCGAAAGAACAGTTCAAAGTGCCTCGCTGAAATTATTTATCAGTATGTATAAATATTTATAAACTCTAAGATCAGCACACGAAGGGAGCAGCGACGTGATGGTCATGGCAATAGAGGCCGGGTCGCTGAGTGAAACCCTGTCTCTTCAGAGCCTGCCTCGCCTTGAGAACAAGCTCTTGGTTCGAAACGGAACCGTCTTGCTCTGAGAGTATCTTCTGAATCGCATTACTAAGAGCGCCATAGCTTTCAGCTGCATTTCCGGGAGGAGTGGCATCCGCGGACGTTTGGTCTGTCTGGCAACCGCTGATGAGAATCCCGCCATCAGGAATGGCGCGATGATTTGCTCCGGCATAAACCTCTTGCTTGCTGCCTACTTCTGTCTCTAAAGCAGGCTTTGCGTACTCATCGTTTTCTTGAAGCTTCAGTTCAAGAAACCCTTGAGCCAAGCTTCCAATCTTCCCCAATAACCCGCTGCCTCCGCCCTCCTGGTTTTGGAGTTTGCTCATGATCACCTTCATGAACTTCTTCACCTTGGGGCTGGCATCCTCTCCGAAAACGTCGAAAAGTGTTGGCCTCAGCTTCCCAACGTCAATGTCATCCTTGCCTGTTTTCTGCTTGAGTATCTCTATGAGTGTTGAGAGTGGTAGAGACCGGCCTTTGACACGGACCCTGACCCCGTCTTCAGTTTCGATCTCTCTGTCTTCCGTCTTCTCTTCTTCTTCCTTATGTCGACCGTGGCGCAATGCAGATGGGATGTGAATCCCACGAGATTCCAGTGCATCTTCAGCCCTGTCCTTCAGAAAATTCTTGAATCCACCACCACCGGAGCTGGACTCGCGCCCTTGCCCCTTGGTGCTCTCTCCTATCTGCTCCTTCGCTTCATCAATGAGGCCCCCGCTGTGGCACGAATCTGAGACAATTGTCAGTCGGCAACCTGCTGGCAGCTGATCTACAAACTCCCTGAAGTCATCATCTGTTACAAGTACCATCCAAAACAATTGTTATACCCGCCCCTTACCAAGCAAAGCAATCAGATTCATGTTCATATACGACCAAATTCAGATTATAACCCTTTTTTTGGTAACAAAAAGTTTAGGGGGAGATTGGCTACTCTCGCCACTAGTACCAAGGCATACCCACAATCTCAAGTCAAAGAGATTTACGCGTGACACTTAACTGGTAGTTGTCACGAGTATAGATTTACGTAGGAATTTATAGATTGTGCACCAACGAGAACTGCTTGCAGCGTGAATTGAACTTAGATTGGGGGTTAACCTCAAGCATGCCCATACCAACTGAACCAACCTTCGTTAGCATTATGCTTATATTTTATATAAGCATTCTGAGTTTGTATTAGTAGGAACAGTAGATAGAAATGACTTAATCTTATACTTTAACACAATGTAAAAGCAGAAAAGCAGACTTTACCCAAAAAAAGAGAGAGCAGAAAAGCAGATCAAGAACCCAAACACATTATATCAAGAATTACAACCAAACGTATTTAACTCATTTAAAAATTTTGGATCATCAAGCAGATCTTAATTTTTCTGAAATATGAAATTTGATAGACATGTCATCAATGTTTGATTGATATGTTCGTTAACATTTGACCGATTTGTTCATCCACGTTTGATCGATATGTCGTCCATCTTGATTTTGATAAGTTCGGCCATTGGAATTATAAAAAAAACAGATACAAATCAAAACAATAATCGGTTCAAGTGAAACTCAAAAATCAAAACTGAGACGGAAAAGAATTTAGAAAAGAAATGAGCGAGTCAAACCAGTGATGAGGTTCATGTCAGTGGGGACGATGCACTCGTCATATCCCGTATCATCATCATCCCCCGTCTCGGCGGGAAGGCGGGTCCCGTGGCCACTGTAGTGAACAAACAGGACGTCGCGGGGATTGGCGGATCGGATGAGGTTGGTGATGGCCCGGCGGATGTTTTTTCCGGTGGGCTGAGTGTAGGAGTCGTCGGTGTCGATCAGAATTTGGATGTCGTCCTCGGAGAAGCCGTAGCGGTCGACGAGGCATCTGTGCATTCGCCTGACGTCGTTTATGCAGCCTTTGAGCTCCGCCTTCGTTCCTTGGTAGTTGCATCCTATCAGCACTGCCTTCTTCACCATTTCTGAAGATTTCCGATCACTCTCACTCTGTTTTTTGTTTTGTTTTTGTGAAAGAAAGAGAATTGCGTTGTGATGCTCTGTTTTTTATTGCCTTAAAAATTAGAGTTTTATTATTTATTTATTGCGGAATTACAATAATATTTTATATACAAATCTTTTTGTCTAATTAATATACAAGTTGAATTAGTTTTTAAAATTGGTTTTGGTTTGGGTTGGTGCCGGCAAAGAAGAACAAGATAAGGACTTGGATGCACGTCCTGGCTTTTAATTGCATACCAGTTGCTGCATGATATATTTTTACCATATTGGCACAAGTTAAATTTAGAGTTCTCTTGAAAATATTTGTAGCATTTTCTCAACTTCCCCACAAAACATTATCAAATTTATGGTATCATTTGTTGAGAGATATCAATTTTACATTGAAAAAAGTGACGTTGTATGTGTTTATAAGTAATAGGGTTGTTCTCCATATTACTAATTGGTTTTATGGTAGAACCTCAACTTTCTTCATACTATCAGAGCAGATTATCTTATGTGTAAAGTCCAATGGCCACACTTGCTCCACTTCACCCGATTTGTATTGTCCCCTTGCTAGGCTCAACTTGAGAATATCAATCTCACATTGAAAAAAGAAGGGACTTTGTATGTGCGTATAAGTAATTCGACTACTTCCTCGTACAACAACATAACCATGCTATGTTATGTTATTTTCTTACTTCAAGTATCTTTTTGCTAAGTGGTTTAAAACATTATCATACACTTGATGTCGTGTGTTCGTGCACTCGCTCCATCATCAATATCTGAGGGGAAAACCATAAATTTTTCATAAATTGGGTAATATTTTGTTATGCGGACGATAAAAGTTAAGCCAAATGCTATTTGGACTCCATATCAATAATCTTGAAAAATGATAAGATGTAATGTCGCACAGGGAGAATTTATGTTACAAAAACAAAGGATGTCCCGCCCATCATGACTGGGTAACAAACAAACAAACAAACGCACAACACAAAGACCAGAAAAAATAGGGGAAAAAAACATAATCATGTCCTCGACATCATTTTTTAGCATTGACAAAATTGCAGTTCACTCGGATTTCACCTTCATTAGGTCTTGTGAGAACTTGCACATTTCCAAGCTTCACCATTGACACCGAAAACTGGCTTTCGAAAAGTGACGGCTGAGACGCCAATGCAGTAACAAAAGGACCGGTTCTCTTGTCCGACTTGAGCAGCTGATCAGTTGACAACAATCCCAACTTCTTGTTGAGATTCGAGTAGTACATTGGATCGAATGTCTTTGGAGTTATGGCGTCGAGATAAACCAAGTCCAAGTCATTTTTGCATTTCTTCTTCAAGAAGTTATTCAAGTACATAGAGTTAAGTGAAGGGTCAGGCTTTCTGGTTCCATTGAAATTTGAGAGCCTGTGCTTGAAGGCGTGGCAAGAACTTCTGCCCATGGTGTGTGCCCCTGAGAGTGTGACCAAATCAAGCATGTTCAAGCCGCGCGCTTGGAAAAAATTGATCAATTGAGTGATGTTCTCCTGTCCCTGAGGAACCATGTCAGCTTCCTTGAGGATTGAAATTTTACCATCTTTGCGTCCGAAGGGGACTTCCCAAAATGGACCACCAGCTATGATTGTGGCATCTCTGGTTGCGGCAGTGAGAATGTCAGCACATGAGACGGTTTTAGGACACTGCCTCTCAAGCTCCGCTTTGATGTCGTCAATTACTTCAAAACCTCTGAGTGTCCTGCTGGCAAAAGCCCTCCTCTCGTTCGCTTGATGGTTAAGGAGAATTGATGCATCGCATCCCTGCAGTGCAATGTTCATTACGATCATATAATACATGTCATTTACTATATTCTCTAAGCCTTTCTTGTATACATTAACTGTTAGAATTTCATCTAGATCTTGTACTTTTGTATATGGTAAGTGACATTTTACATTGTATGAAAATTTAACGGTTATAATAGGACCGGTTAAGGGTTCAATTCATTCTAATGCAAGTAACAAAAAAGAAAAGTAAGGTCAATGCAAACGAATGCTTACTCTCACAACACAGTCATGGAAGTGTAAGCGAATGATGCTAGCAGCCAAAGTGAAATCTTTCTGAATCCAATCTCCGACTTTTTGTTGAATGATTCCCTCAGCTTGCGGACATGTTTTAACATAGTGATTGAATGACAGAAGATCCTCAGCGCGAACAGCTTTGGCCTGAGGTTTTTTTACATTGAGAGATGCTGCCGTTACAGGTAACTTAGTCGATGATACAACATCGATCATGAACAGCTCCAACAGAACAAGAACAACAGACAGTGTAGAACTGCACAACTTCATGTTTATGAAAACTTGTTTTTGGTATTTGGTATTATTGTGCGTGCTTAACTTTAACCTAAATCAGCCTTGACTTTATATACATCTCTAAAAACTGAGTTGACATGTTCGTGGGGTTTTGTAAATACGTGAGAAGCACTATTGCGTCTTAACGCACACAAAATAGTAACATGCAAACATGTAGCTTTTGGAAGTCTCATTTTTTAAAATTTTTTGTACAGATTGATACTGTTTATAATTCGGGTCATCAGCTGAGAGAGACCAACCCACCCCACTAGGGGAAGGTCCTAGCGGAGAAAATCCCACCCCAGGGATACCGAGAGCTGCATCACAAATTACACCTGGATCCCAAATTAATTAATATATATTAGCTCTTTAAGATTCCTAAGTCTTTAACATTTGTATTTACTTAATTATTATTTTTGTGGTTAACTTGTATATATTTATTTGAACTTTGACAAACCATCCAATATTTAAAGTTTCTCAACCTCTAAAACAAGAGATTTTCAATGTGACCGGAACACAGGGTAGTATACCACGTGTCACTATATAAATGGTGGAATATGTGTGTTAAAAAGTTAATAACTTAAAAATTATAATTTTTCACCATTTATATAAAAACACGCAGTGTTCCGGTCATAATGAAAAATTTCTTCTCTAAAACAAGGGAACTTTAACGAAAAGCTCCCGGTACTGTTCACTTTAACGAAAAAACACATTTTTACACTAAAAAGTCAATCTTAGTACTATTCACTTTACCCTTTATTTTGTCTTTATCATTAAAACTCAAAGTTTTCAAGTCCTTTTCATTAGTTTTCCTCTAAAACAATTGGAGGGTTGAGTAATCAAGCGTGTTGAAGTAATCAAGCATTTTGATATTAGTCCAAAACGCATAAATCCCTTTTATCCTGTTAAACATTCTAAGCAGGTTGCATAGGGGGCTTTTAGCCCTCCCACTTCTCATACATTCTCATCCCCTCATATTTTGTGCGGTAACGGTTAAGCCACGTCAATATTTTATATTGATTTTTTTATAGAGATAATAAGACAAAAAATAATAGTAATATAAAATGCCAAGAAGTGTCCCATAATTGAAACCCTAATCCTAAAAAATCCCCTTTATCTCGAAGGCAGCCTATTTTTTTTTTCTTTTAATTTGGGAATTAACTACTCAAACATCTCTGGAGGGGTTTGAACATTGCTCGAAGCGTGTCGAGAGTGCTCATAGTCGGGGTTTAGGCATTGCTCGAGGCATGTCGAGAGGGAGGCAGATTGTCTGCCCTCTTGTTATGGTGCCCTTCCCATCCTCTCCTATTTGTGCGGTCACGGTTAAGCCACGTCAACATTTTATATTTATATTGCTTTTTGTCTTATTATCTCTATAAAAAAATCAATATAAAATGTTGACGTGACTTAACCATGACCGTACAAATAGGAATGGATGGGAAGGGCACCATAACAGGAGGGCAGACAATCTACCTCCTGCCGAGAGTGCTCATAAACTACTTAAGACTATGTTTCAAAATCTTGAACAGTGGCCAAAAATCTTTAATGTGTTAACAAAAATGTTAGTTTCCTATATTTTCCAAGCTTCAGCATCAGGACCTAAATAAGTTCCTCTCTGCATGCTTACTTCTTTGAGTGAAACATAGAGAGCCCATTCACAAATTTTCACTACATGTAACTAAGAATTGCCAAAATATCCAGCTAGCTAGCTAGTGCCAAGAGAATATACATTGCCAAATTTATATATATGTTGAAATGCTGATACATTATACTAAGAGTTACCATATATTATATATTTTTGGCTTAGACAATTAGATTTTTTTTTTTATCCAAATTGGATTAAATGTCCTAGTAGTGATGACCCCGTACAAAAAATTAGATTTAAATTTTCGTGGTGGAGTCCGTATTGAAAGTCAAGAGTGGGTATTCTATATGCAGCATCAGTCATATGCAGTATCAGTATGCGCAGTGTAGCATCAGTCATATGCAGTATCAGTATGCGCAGTGCAACATCAGTCATCCCATATCGTCTAATAAAAGTCAAGAGTGGGTATCCGGAGCTATTGGTTAGGTTGATGATTAGGGTGTAGTTGTCACCTTACTTCTAGTTAGATCTTGTATCTTCTTTCCCATACTTTTAGGGTGGTTAGAAGCTTTTTGCCTTACCTTCTTTTTGCTCCCTGTTTTATGGAGTTGCTGTGTAGGAGTGATTCAAGGGTGATCAGTGTGTTAATCACACCTTGCCCTATATATCTTGTATTCTTGTGTTGTTGTTTCTCTATGAAGATATATACAAACAAACACTGAAAACTCAACAGTCCGTTCTGTTTCAAACCAAAATTAATATTTTTGCTAATAATCCGCTAACCCATTCAACCTTCATAACCAAAAGAGATGTGAGAATGTGAACGGAGAGTTTAAATCCTCCAACTGTAGCATCGGAACTTTCAAACTATGTTTGCTTGTTTAATGTTGAACAATTTGTTTTCTTGATGGAAATCACCTGATTTATAGAATTGGAACTTTGAATCTTTGATGCTTGCTGATCCATTTGAATTGCGTAGTGGGTTGTGTTTGAAGAACTCTTCAATTTTTAAAAAATTTGTGTTGCAGGTACAAAGTTGTTAGAGCTTCATCCGGGAGGAATCACACTGTATTCGCTACTTAGGATGGACATTCTTTCGCCTTTGGCTGGAATAAGTATGGACGGATGGGTTCAGGTTCAGTAAAAATGGTAGGTTCTACTTTGTCAAGTTAGTTTGATGAA